TCTGTCCAATGCATATCGTACAATGACAATTCATTTCAAATATTAGCTCTTAGCATGAACTGCAGATTGTGCGTTAATAGGAAAGTCAGCAGTGACAGGATGCCAAACGTGCACAAACGTGATCATGCATACAAAACCATCTGTACTCCTTTAAATGAAACAGATGTTGTTTGAATTATTTCAGGATCGCTTTCCTCGGTTGAGGCCGTTTCTGTAAATACAAAAGATTATATTTTTATATAAGTTATAGGGACAAGAGATTGAAATTAGCAATAGCTACTATAGCTCTGAGCAGCACATCAGTTTCATGCTTTGTATTGAAACTCTGTTAAATTGCATCTTCCAAAATACATTGAAATTGGAATCTGAAGAACCAGTTTTTACAAATGCAGTGTTTTTTAAAATAACATTGCATCCCTTGTGACCACAGGGCTGCAAACATCTAAAGACTCCTCATTCAGAATCAGCTCATTTAAAATCAGTTTTATATCCTACACGGTGCCAAAGTTTCTGCTTTTAGACATTTATTTTCTTGTTCGTTCTTCATCTCCTGCTGAGCGCACAGTGTTTGATTTAAATGTCACCTCTCTGACAAACTGATGTCGCCTTCTCACAAGTAGAAGGATTAATTGTGGTGTTAGCTCAAGAAACAAGGCATGTCACTGTGACGCCTGCTGTACAGAAGAAAGACGATTTTGATGTCTTACCTTCTGACTGCACAGGAGGAGCTTGTGATAAAAGTTTCAGCAGCTTGTCTTAAGGCTGCAGCAGCTCTGAATTCCTTTTATCAGCTCGTATGAAAGAAGAAAAAAAGAAATGTTTATTTACAACCTATAGTACACAAGCAGAGCCCGTGAAACAGTGTCGAGTGCGCTCTTCTGCCCTCCTGCTGACACTTTCATGTTGAACTTTGAAAGCTTTAAAGTGTTTATAGATGAAGTTTGTTACGACTGCAACATTTTAAGATTTGTGTTGTGTTTGTTCAACTTAAGAAAAGTGGTGGTAATCACAGGATAGAACAGAAAGCCTTTATTGTCATTATGTATTTGTATAATGAAGTTAGAAATGCTTCATGTTTGAGCGTATCATATTCAGGTAGCCACGGTTACAAACAACTCACATTCCAGTAAGAGAAGAGAAACAGAATATGTATTGTCCAGGATTTGTCTATTTATTCATTTTTAAAGGTTTTTAAGGGGGCCTTTTGAGCCTCTATATCTGACTCAAATAGGGGAGAGAGAGAGAGAGAGAGGGGAATGACATGCGGTTAAGGAGCCACAGGTCAGATTCGAATTTCAGGATTGTGGCCAGTGCTTTTACTTTTTTCATTGCTGTGAATTTTATTTTTATTCATCGTCGTCCCACCGCTTCAGAATAGAATTGTGGATAAAAAAAATGAAATACAAACATTGTGTCATGTCCCTCGTCCCTAGTTATCATTCCCAACCCAGCACATTCTCTCAGTGAAACCCTGTGATGATAAACTAGCGTGTGAGGAACCCATCCAACCTGACACGTTTGAACACACAATTAACATTCGTACAAATTTAACAAGTGCTGATTAGCCACACGACCAAAAGATCATGAGCACAACTCTAACTTCCCAATTTGCACAAACAATAAAGCCAGTGTTGGTTCAGTGACCCCCCCCTTCAATCAAGTCCTGATGGAGAGATTTGCCTCATTGATCTGACGGCTCCCACGGGACACTGATTATTATTATTTCTGCTGATGTGAGGACACAGCATGTTATTGGACGTTCTGTTTGGATTCAGTTATAAACAAGACATTTTATGCCGACTAGACTGAAGTTTACAGCTTTAATAGAGGCTGTCATGTCATATGAAATGAACATAAAGAGAGGGGACAATACCTGATTACGTCATTAATGCGTATGTCAAACTTAATCACGGCAGGAAAAGGAAAAGCGAGCTCTCTGACACATTTAGAAAAACTGATATGAAATGAGAAGTATTTATGGGTACACACACACGTCCAGTAAAACCGCACTCACAGAAGCGAGCTGTGATTCTTTGTGTTTTACTGCCCTCCGTTGTCCCACAACTTTATACAGCCAGTAACAACAGACACACACTCCTTTATTGCGCTGCCTCTATATATATGATAATAAGCCATCGGTGGAAGATACACAGTAAAATAACTTACTGCTGGAAGCATTTATCGGGCCCCACTTTCAGCGCTGTCTTCTAACAACGCGTCTGCTGTGTTTTCAATAACACAATATATGGAAAGTTTTTTGTTTTTTTTAAACGTGGCTAACCGATTTACCTTCCCCTTTTCTTGAAGATACTTCGTGCGTCATTCCTGATGAGCCTTTGGACACAAGTGTGCGCATATTTGGGAGATCCTTTTTTTCCAACAACATTTCTCATTCTTGTGAGAGCAGACATGCAGCAGTGTATCATTTGGAAATGAATTGATGTAATACCCTCATATATCAGCGTTTAAAGTCAGCTGCGTGATGCAAACTACGACATCTTTTGCAATCTGAGGGGCTGCGAGCTGCAAGATCTCAGAACAAGTGATATGAATTCACTTAAGAGTCTTAATGTTGGAGGTTAAAAGTGTTGTTTAAACAGAAGTGATGGCACATTTGCAGTTAAAGGATCAACCCATAAGGTGACGGGTTTTTTTGTAAACGGCTCGCAGGAATGTCTTTAATTACTGCTCACATGTTTGCTGTGAGATATTTACCTTAAAAGGCTCTACCATAAACAGCTGTTGTACACCCGGCTGTTTAATGCGGAGTGAATGTTCAGACCAGCTGGGGAATGAGAGTGGAGGAAGTGATTGAAGGAGCCAGAGCTCAACAACAAACAGCTGCCAAGGTGCCACTGATCAATATCCTACACTCAACTGTAACTATACGTGGGGGGGGGGGGGGCGTCTGTGCTCTTAAACTTTAAAACTGCATCAATAAATGAAGAGCATCAGGGAAAAACATAGATTCTTCAGGCTTGCATGCGCTCTTCTTCAAACAAAAATGAAGAGACTGCGGGCGTGACTTGCATACAAAAATGCTGTGAGGTGTTAAGCTGAAGGAATAACCCCCCAGGGAGAGACAGACCTTTTCCTGTGACCTGGATTAAATATTGATGGCCCGCGATAATAGAGGATAGGGCACAAATGTCGGTGTCACAGCACATTGAGGAGGAGGGTCAACCCTTTGTAAATGAACTTTAGGACGGGGCTGATTTATTTATGCATGTTGTCCCAGGGCCTGAGACGAGTCGTAAACCATCCGTTTAGAAATCAAATGTTGATCGATTTGGATGCAAACACCTCCATCAGTAGTGGTGTTGTAAAAGCGTGCAGGGGGCGTACACGCACAGCTGCACTTTAAGTTAACCTTCAAATTTAATTAAAACTTCAATCACGGGGGGGGGGGAGCCTCCGCCCTTGACTGATGTGTTATTAGTTAGCAAAAAAATGTGCAAGTAAATTAGTCAAATGAACCAGACAGCCAAATTTATTCTGCAGCCTTGCAGGATGTCATTAGGAGTCGCCTCTTGTGTTCGACATGCAAAGGAATGAAGGACACTTTTAAGGCTCAGTTTAAATGATGGATTATTTTTTTATTCCCTGTTTGTTATAGTGGCATGCTGTTTTACTTTAGTAATAATATTGTTTAGTGTGAGGTAACAATGAGCACATATTCATGGAAACAGGATTGTAAAGCAACCGAGTGTCTGCAAGAACAACCTTGTACTTGACTTGGGGAATCATTCTGATGGTTTTCTCTACCTGTCTGAGAAAAAGTTGCTGTGATGGAATTTAAAAAGTTGTGGGTCTACACTGACACCTAGTGGAAAAGGTACGGTATTGCCGATTACACAATGTTGCTGTGCTTGAAGCCGAGGCTGCAGGTGATGGATGGCAGACAGGTGATTAAGTGACAGCAAACTGTTTTTCTGCCTGTCAGAGTTTAACCTGATCGTGTTAGACGTGACCCATTTGTTTATTATTTTGTTTGTGGACACAGTGAGACGTCATTTTGACATTATTGAAAATTGTATAGTATTGTTGAGATCCAAACTGGAAGAACATATTCCTGCATCTCCCCCTATCCCATTTTTCAAGCCCAGTGCAGTTTCGGCAGATGGCTGTTCATCATGAGTTTAGATTTCTGTTGAAAGTTTTTTCTTTTTTCTTGCCACTCTAACCATACTTAATGTTGCTAAGTGCTCAAAAGTCAATGAAAACAGCTAGAAGGAAGAGTAAAAAAAGTGAAATGTTTGATATCGTAAGGAGGATATGATGTTGGACTCGACGTCTGAGCTGTCTGAGAGTTTTAAAGTGAAATGAGCTCATTGGTTCTCTCTAGATAATATAGCAATGAGTAAGGTCTTTTAACTGCTCTTTTCCAATATTACATAATAAAGAGTCACTGATTGTTTCTACAATTCACTGAGCAGACGAACATCCGAGAGTAAGTTGTTAATTGATTGATACATGCACAAATGGAAGTTATGCATCATTTTCATGTCAGAAGTTTTTTCAGGCTAACATAGAGGACGTTTGATCCTGAAGAATAATATTTAGACGGACGATTCTTTAAAAAAGAAATTAAATAGTTGCAGGATTTTTTTTCCATCAGCGTGACCTGACATTGGATTTAAATGACTCCGAGCTCATCACTGAAACATCTGTGTCCCCACAATTATTCACACAGCATGCACTCTTTTTCTGGTTCACGTCCGAGGTCACGCTTCTCCCAGGTTTGAACTCGTGTAAAACTTTTAATAGCTAAAAATCTGCCAACCTTGTGAGCCGACCTTCACAGGCTGTGATTGAAGCGGCTCTGGGTGGGTGGGTGGGTGGGTGGTGGAGGGAGCTCTGCTGAAGGTTACACAACTCTGAGATGTCTACTGGGAGCATAATTGGTAGTTCTTTTTTTTCTCCCCTTCTGTTGAATAGGTTTGATTAAATATGTAAAAATGTCATGCAGATGTGAGGCTAAAAAAGACAAACCGGACAGGTAATGAGTTAAAGTTTTATTAGCTCTCCTCTCAGCGCATGCATTTAGCATTTATTAAAAAAGGTCGAGAAATCAATCATTACTCTCCACTCTCTTACAGTATTTCATATTTTACACTTAATAAACATCTCCTAAAAAGCATAGAGGCAACTATTCTGAGTCTAATATCAAAACTGTGCTGTTGCCAAACAAAGCAATATCTAACAAAGAAGGATGAATACACCCTCAAATACTGTTACAGTGACAGATATGATCAAATTGTTTTTTTTAAACTCACCCCCAGAAATAGGGGATGTAAAATCACAAATTGTGACTCTTACAGAACAACAGAGTTAAAGGTCAACGAAGGCAGAAAAATCTTAATTTTTTCCACGCGTTCGTCGACAAAAGAGACAAAAAAAAGGCCTTGAAACGCTACATTACATTCCTTGCAGTAACATAACTTGTCTGACTCACTAATGTTCTCGTGATATCTAAGGCATACAGTAATAATTCTCAGAGCTTTGAAACAAGCTAAACAACCTGCAAAAAACAACCACACTAAGCCACGGCAGATATGAAATAGTGCATCATTCAGTCATAAAACACAGGCTCCTGTAAACTTCTCCATACTTACACTACCATACATTATTCTGTGATCACATGTTCTCCTCTCATGTAAAGAAGCACATGTTGGACATACTTCAGTCTGCCTCTTCTTTCCTTCATTACACTGTTAAAACCCTTCATTTCTGAAGAGGATTTTCTTGGGACCCTGTTAACATCTTCTCCTGTGTTTCAGTACCAAACCGCAGGAGATTATGTATTATATGAGACAGTCCTTTTAGTTGTAATAAAGCTGGATCAAAATTGTAACCATTAAAGCTCGTCATGGTTGTCACTGCTCAACAGCTTGCAGAGCCAGATTTCTTCTGTGAATCTCGTTGAGCATGACGTCGCTGCTCGAGCCGTCAGATATTCCGCTGTCAGCAAACACAGAACCTGTGGTGGAACAAAAATAATGTCATGTTAAAGAGTCACATATTACATGCAGAATACACTTTACCATATTTTCTCATATGGTAAAGTGATGGGGTATATGGTAAGAACCTCCACAGACATGATTTGGGGGAGCTGAGAGTTTTTTAAAAACCGGTTGAAAAGGAGGATTTTAAGTAGAGTACTGGCAAACTTACCACCGCTGTTGGTGCCATCGCTGGCGACGGAGGGGCTTCGAGAGGTCAAGTGGGGAGCTGTGCTGGATGCTGTTGCAAGCGACGTGTTTCTGTTGTAATTGGTTGCTGTCCGACTCCATTCTGCAGAAAAGTGATGTAAGAAATTAGGCAAATATGTCAAAACAATTTGGCAGATGTGTTTATAAACATATTTATTTTGAGCCTCTTCTTTTAGTCTGCATTAGATTTCATTTTGACTAATGTATAAAATAAAAAAATAGCAGAATTAAGGATTAGCATTCTGTGATTTACAAACCATCTATGGATATAAAGACACATATCTCTGGATGACTTTGACAGTGAAGAAACAAAATAATGTGAATCCGAGGCAAGTTCTTGAGTTTTCTTTATGTCTGATATCGCTTGATGGTTGTTTAAATGTTAACATTATTTCAAAGATGAACACTGAATATAAAGATATGTTTTCACTGAGCGATGATTCTGAAAGCGATTTCAACTTTTGGTGCAATTTGTAACAAACAGTTGCTTCAGCTTTTTCTTTTTTTTTTTTTAACTTTAATTGATTCCATCACAGGAGCAGCTTTTCCTGCAATGGTTCCAACTGTTGACTGTCTCATTAAGAAGCCATATCAGTGTGCCAAACTACTATAAATAACCCCCTCTTTGTTTTTTAGGCAGTCAGGGCCTGATTCACTAAGAATGGATTGCGGCCTCTAATGCCTCCAAAAATTGCGCACCATTATCTCCCATTATCTGCTCCGTCTCAAGGTCCACAAAGAATATCTCACTGATGATATCCATGCACATACACGGCCATAAAGTTGTCCTGCTCCTGAGTGTGTTTTGTGAATTAGACGGTATCTTATTGATTCATTTGCACAGATTATGCGGGTTCACCACAATCCTTTTGTGAATCAGGCCCTGAAATTCTCACAGTTCGAGAACCCATGCCCTTATATGTAAAAATTTATTTATCAGAGGCACAAGAACACATTTAGTAGCCCACCTGAGTTTTTAGCCAATCGTAGCCTTCCACAGCAAAGGTACGTTCTCCACTGCCTGCGGACATTTTCTTTTACAGCACAGTGGAAAACGAAGACAAAGAAACCTACACAGGACAAATGAAACAGTAACAAAATTAGCCTTTGTGATACTTCTTTTCTTACGTTGTTGTTTATATAGTTAAAACTCAATCTCACCTAGCAGAGAGTTGAATATAGTAAAAAGGTAAACAAAGGGTAGGTAGAGGGGCCCCCAGGCGAACAGGGCGAACCCCCAGGTGAGGCCGAGCAGGATGACGAGGCCGGCGATGCTGCGCAGATCCGTCAACACTCCTCTGTTGGGAGACTGGTTCTGAGGGTTCTGCTTCTTTATCCTGGAGAGCTGGACCATGACCATGATGAAGACAATCAGGCACAGACTAAAGATCAGGAGGAAGTAGGCCACCACGCCCACGTAGAAGGCGATGTCGTTACGCAGCCAGCAGCTACAGGGTGACAAATAACGGACATTTCGATTTAGCTCTTAGAAAGGGCTAAAATGATTCGGTGCTGCATTCAAGAGAATGTAGTCACAGATATGCAGTATGTTCAAGTACACGACAGAAAATGGGAAACCCTACACCCCTGAGAAACTCCAGAAACCAATATCTTAAGCAACAGCTCCACCTAGTGGGAGTCTGCTATGCTACCATTATTAATAATAATAATAATAATAAAACATTTATTTATAAAGCACTTTAAATCAAAGTGCTGTACAAAGCAATACAGTTAAAATACAGGAAAAACATACATAGAAATCATGACTCATACTCAACAGTAAACAGACGGGTCTTTAACATTGCTTTAAAAACCTCAACAGAACAAGCCTGCCTGATGTCCAGAGGTAAACTGTTCCAAAGTGTCGGTGCACAGAAAGAAAAAGCCCGCTCACCAACTGTCTTCTTCCTGACCTTTGGTACACTCAAAAGACCCGTCCCCTGAGAACGCAGGGCTCGGGCAGGCACACAGGGGTTCACCAGGTTGGTAAGATACAATGGTGCGCTGCCATTTAATATTTCAGAAGTTAGCAGCAGCACCTTACAATCCGCTCTGGCATTAATAGGGAGCCAATGAAGTTAATACTATTTAAGGGTAACATACTTTTTTAAAGCTCATGTTACAACATATGGTGCATTCCATTTGATTTCAGAAGTCGGAAATTCTGAGTTGCCGGTCTGATTTGAAGTCAGGAACGCCCCCCTGAAGTCGGAATTCCACAATAAAGTGGAATAAAGTACAACTGTGTGTATTTAGGCACAACTTACAAGTCGTCTGACGTGCCGTCTGTGTTTCTCCCGTATGTGACGAGGCCGTAGTTGTCTTTGTCCACTGCTATAACGATAATCACCACGATCAGGGGAATACCTGCAAACACCAGGATGTTAGTTAAAAAATGGTCTTAGTATATCCACATTAACCTTGTGTTACACTCTTTTTGAAGTGTGTTCATTCATGCATTAGTTGATTCAAACAGTGTGAGGCATTGGTTGAGGAAGAAAAAGCCTCAAAAGAATGCTTGTACATTTATAAACTCACCCCAGCCCATCAGGGAGAACTTGAGCATGTATCTGCTGAGGTAAGGAGTGAACACCTTGACCACACTCAGGTACATGTGCAGGGCCTCAAGCCCCGCCCAAGTGAATGATGTCAGTAGGAAGTAGTGCAGGAAGAAGGCGGTGCTGATACACAGGCCGACGGCCGGGTAGAGCGCCAGCCAACCATCCAGCAGGAAGACCAGGTTCAAGAGCAAGAGGGACATGCAGAGCTGGACCAGGATCTTGGCAGGAATGTCTCGGAGCAGTTTACTGGATAGAAAGGGTTTGTTATGGTATAAGCTTGATCGATATCATTTTAAAAAAAGCTCAGATTTAAGTAGTTTCAGGTCAGTAAAGATGTTGATTCTTACTCGAATAGCAGATATGTCAGTATGGTGACAGCAAGGAAAATTGCAGAGATTCCACATCCGATGTAGGTGATGAATGTAAGAATCTGAGCTTGCCGACGGTCTATTATTGTGTCTCTGGAAAAATCCTGAATTAAAGACAGGGTACACACCAAAGACAGTAAATTAAATATACATATATGCACATTAAACACACATTTTCCACCAGCATGCAGCTATAAGGTTTACAGTTTCTCCCTGTAACTATTGGTATGTAGAAAGATCATTCTAAGAACACAAAGTTATGTTGGCACTTATATCAATAGTTCTAGTTCTCAATTTAAATGGAATATTTTTTGATTCAATAATAATGAATATATCAAAAAAACATTGACACAAACCAGCAGTATTGCAAAAGACGTGAGATGGTTGCAGCTGCAGATCGTCTCTTCTGCTGAAGTGTTGACGACAAAGCAGCCGTCAGAGCTCCAGCTTCCTCTCCCCTCTGAACAAGAGAACCACAACAATCAGGAATAACATATTGATACCTGTATGACTACTCTGCTCATAACAAACTTTTATTAGTCCTGCACCGACCTACCATTCTGAGTGAAGTCCCAAAATACACAGGAGGCTGAGTGGTTTTCCTGCAGGACAGAGTACACATTAGAAGAATAAAAGTAGCGCAGAGAGATTTGGGGTGGTCTTCACTTCATTTCTAATTTTAGAAGTTTATTTTAAAGTAATGCTGTTATGTTTTTAAAGCTTAATATAAAACGAGCAGATTTGCATGCATAATGCATGTTCCTTTTTTGTATCTGAGGCCACAAACATTTCAACCAGAGGACTTCTTCAGGTGATCAGAGGTTTTCTTCAGTTCCTCTGTCTGCTGTTTTTGCACAGCCCTGCACCTTTGTGTTGTGCGTGTAACTACCTTTCTGTATCTGCTCAGGAAAAAATACATTTAAGTGTGCACCCTTACATGTATAGGGTTGATGTTTCTGATGGTAAACTGGATGTTCTCAGTCAGTTCACTTATTGACAGATTGGCCACACTGGAGCCCAGGACTGGACTGACCATAGTTTGGTTATTTAATGTTGCGTCCTGCAAAAAGAATGAGATTAATTGAATCTTCTTGAAAGCACTGTGGTAAATAGTTTGCATTTAGTTTCAAACATTAAACAACCTCTTCCACTTTTATTGATCTATACCTTGCTTAATTTGAATTACCTGGAAGAGGGTAGATCTGGTGTAGAAGGTGAACTGGACCCTGCTGGCCTGCAGCTGTTGTTCAGGACTGAGACCTGAGGTGAGGGAGGAGGGCAGGAAAACAGACCCCAGAGCTGAATCTGACCTCTTGAACCGGGATCTGCGGAGAGCACGGAGCTGGATGCACAACAAGTTGATAAATGGTTAATCACAAAGTTAAGCACCTCCTGATTTAATATATGATCTCCTCATCTGTCAACAGTCTGGACTTTTTCCAATTTAGATAACAGTTGTGCAAGATATATAATGCAATAAACTCTGTTTTCTGAGTGGTTTAGCTAAGTCTATTTTACTGTACAAACCTGTGGTACACTGCTTGAATGTCACATTTTTAGATTAGCATTAGCAAAATATACGCCCCTAAAACTGCCAATCACAGCTGTCTGCCAGCCTGTGTTGAATACACAAAAATGTTAGCAAATGGTTAAAACTGAATTTCACTCCATGGGCTTCAAAAATTGTGCCATAATTCCAGTAGCAATTTTAACAGAGAATAATTTAACATCAGAGGAGAGAGATACTAAAATTCTCTTCCTAAAATTTTTATTAAGAAAGTGAAAGGTGTTTCCCAGAGATTTGGCATATAGGTAAAAGTAATTGAATGTATTTATGTAAAAATAGGGACAGTTCACATTAATGAACATAAATGTGTGACATGTAAATATGTCGGATTACAGCCATAGGCTAATTGCCGTCTGTAGTCTCTTGGCAGGTTGGCAATACACGCGTATACAAGCTGTTGATGCAACACACTTAATTCAAATCTGGCCTACCTCCACATTATCTGTGTTGAAAATGTTCACAGATGTTGTTGGAAAGTTGGTCCCATCAACAGTCCTCACAGCCAGAACTAGTGAGTTTGAAGAGAGGATCGCTCTGTCACCACTGACAACCAACTTCAGACCCAGATCATCCACCACCCGAATCAGCCTGTCAGCAGAAAACAAGAGAAATCCTTTTTTTAAAAATCTAACGGACATGTTGTGGAAATGTGTGTCTCTGTGGGTGAGATTTGTACCTGTTAGCAGATGCAGAGAGGGCCGATGAGTCGCTCCCCATCAGGTTGCTGACAATGTTGATGGCCTTTTGTCCCACTGATCGAGACACAGTGGGGCCCTCCAGAAGTTCCTCCAACTGCCCAACTAACTGTTCCACCTGCCATCAAATTACGAATGAATTTACCATTTAAAACATGTTAAAATTACTCTACTCTACTCCATGACGTTGTCTCCAATTATGTCCCTCACAGTTTCATCCCCTTATCCTTTCATTTCTTCACCCTCCTCCCTCCTTACCTTCCCTAAATCCTTATCCACATAACTGTATCTCTCATCCCTCTAAATAAACCCTCAAGCCATCCCTCATTCATCATAACTCACAACCCCATTCATATTGAGCTGAAGTACTAAAAAATCATTTCTTGACTGACTTGGCTTGGCCTAGGTTAAGGAATCAGTACTGTAGCTTTACTTCAGAGGAGGTGAGTTGAGATGCATTCTGCGTTTGATTCAGAAGCTGGTTTGTTTGTTCCTCCTGGTTTTGATTGGGGTCTACTGTGGTAGTTTGGGTACCTTGGAAAGGAGTACAGCAACTTGTCATTTAAATGCTCATGTTTGTATATTTTTAAAGATATAAAAATAATGAATTTAGCAAAGGATAAAGTTAGCCTGTGCATTCTTATGTCAATAAGTTCTCATTTAAGATAATCCAGTAAGTGAAACTTAGAAAAGCACATTACTCATAGGAATAACCAGTTAACACCAGTGATGATTCAATTGTTATAATGCATTTTTAGTAATGCAAGCTATTCTAGAGTATTTGTTCCACCATACTGAATAGGTTTAGTAGCAGCTTCAACCAAATAGATTAGTAAATCATGTTGATTTATCCACTCTACATACCAGTATTTGTTAGGGTTGTGGTGGTAAGGGTAGTGGCTTTTAGAGTTGTAGTTGAAGAAGTTGTGGAAACCTTTGCAGTAGCATTGTTTATCTGGTCTGGAAGTGTACCACTGACAGATGTAGTCGTTGTGGTGGCAGAGGTTGTAGACACTCGTTCAGCTGGTGTAGTCGTCAAATTGACTTTTGGTATGTTGGTTGTTCGGTTGAAGTCAGCGGTTAAACTGCTCACAGTTGAACTCAGGTTGACGCTGATTCCCGTTGTTTCATTGTTATTATTAAGGACAGTGACAGTGGTAGTTGCGGTGGAGTTGGGTTCAGTTTTGTTGGTTGTTGTGATGTTGTTAGTCACTCCAACTGTGGTGTGATTTCCAGTCTGGTTGCTGAGTTGAGCCACCGTAGGATTAGTGGTGTTGACAACAACAGACGTTGGGGTTGTTGTTACATTGTTCAGAGTTTCATTACCTTGTCTTGCAGCAGTAAAGGTTGTCATGTTTGTATTAGAAACAGTTGTGTTCTGCTGTATTTCACCAATATGTGCAGTCGTTACATTGTGTGGGGATGTTTGGTTGTGAAATACATTAGCAGTGGTTACATTCTCAGCTGTTGTGGGATTCATGGTGGCTGTAGTTACATTGTACAATGCAGTGATATTGGGAGAAGTTGTAAAAGTGTTTATTGTGGTATTCATTGTTGTAATTGAATCATTTCCTAGGGTTCTGTTCCTGTTTGCTGTAGTCAAGTTGTACACTGTTGTGTTATTGTTTGAAGGTGTTGTGTGGTTGTTGAAGGCTGTAGTTACATTGTACCCTACTGTGGTATTGGGAGTTATTGTAAATGGGCTAACTGTCGAGTTAGCTGTTGTAGTCGAACCGTTTTGTAAAGATCTGTTGCTGTCCTCTGTAGTCAAGTTGTACACTGTTGTGTTATTGTTTGAAGGTGTTGTGGGTTGTTGAAGGCTGTAGTTACATTGTCGCCGACTGTGGTATTGGGAGTAATTGTAAATGGGCTAATAGTTGAGTTAGCTGTTGTAGTCGAACCGTTTTGTAAAGATCTGTTGCTGTCCTCTGTAGTCAAGTTGTACACTGTTGTGTTATTGTTTGAAGGTGTTGTGGGGTTGTTGAAGGCTGTAGTTACATTGTACCCTACTGTGGTATTGGGAGTTATTGTAAATGGGCTAACTGTCGAGTTAGCTGTTGTAGTCGAACCGTTTTGTAAGGATCTGTTGCTGTCCTCTGTAGTCAAGTTGTACACTGTTGTGTTATTGTTTGAAGGTGTTGTGTGGTTGTTGAAGGCTGTAGTTACATTGTCGCCGACTGTGGTATTGGGAGTAATTGTAAATGGGCTAATAGTTGAGTTAGCTGTTGTAGTCGAACCGTTTTGTAAAGATCTGTTGCTGTCCTCTGTAGTCAAGTTGTACACTGTTGTGTTATTGTTTGAAGGTGTTGTGGGGTTGTTGAAGGCTGTAGTTACATTGTACCCTACTGTGGTATTGGGAGTTATTGTAAATGGGCTAACTGTCGAGTTAGCTGTTGTAGTCGAACCGTTTTGTAAGGATCTGTTGCTGTCCTCTGTAGTCAAGTTGTACACTGTTGTGTTATTGTTTGAAGGTGTTGTGTGGTTGTTGAAGGCTGTAGTTACATTGTCGCCGACTGTGGTATTGGGAGTAATTGTAAATGGGCTAATAGTTGAGTTAGCTGTTGTAGTCGAACCGTTTTGTAAGGATCTGTTGCTGTCCTCTGTAGTCAAGTTGTACACTGTTGTGTTATTGTTTGAAGGTGTTGTGGGTTGTTGAAGGCTGTAGTTACATTGTCGCCTACTGTGGTATTGGGAGTAATTGTAAATGGGCTAATAGTTGAGTTAGCTGTTGTAGTCGAACCGTTTTGTAAAGATCTGTTGCTGTCCTCTGTAGTCAAGTTGTACACTGTTGTGTTATTGTTTGAAGGTGTTGTGGGGTTGTTGAAGGCTGTAGTTACATTGTACCCTACTGTGGTATTGGGAGTAATTGTAAATGGGCTAATGTGAGTTAGCTGTTGTAGTCGAACCGTTTTGTAAGATCTGTTGCTGTCCTCTGTAGTCAAGTTGTACACTGTTGTGTTATTGTTTGAAGGTGTTGTGGGTTGTTGAAGGCTGTAGTTACATTGTACCCTACTGTGGTATTGGGAGTAATTGTAAATGGGCTAATAGTTGAGTTAGCTGTTGTAGTCGAACCGTTTTGTAAAGATCTGTTGCTGTCCTCTGTAGTCAAGTTGTACACTGTTGTGTTATTGTTTGAAGGTGTTGTGGGGTTGTTGAAGGCTGTAGTTACATTGTCGCCGACTGTGGTATTGGGAGTAATTGTAAATGGGCTAATAGTTGAGTTAGCTGTTGTAGTCGAACCGTTTTGTAAAGATCTGTTGCTGTCCTCTGTAGTCAAGTTGTACACTGTTGTGTTATTGTTTGAAGGTGTTGTGTGGTTGTTGAAGGCTGTAGTTACATTGTCGCCGACTGTGGTATTGGGAGTAATTGTAAATGGGCTAATAGTTGAGTTAGCTGTTGTAGTCGAACCGTTTTGTAAGGATCTGTTGCTGTCCTCTGTAGTCAAGTTGTACACTGTTGTGTTATTGTTTGAAGGTGTTGTGTGGTTGTTGAAGGCTGTAGTTACATTGTACCCTACTGTGGTATTGGGAGTAATTGTAAATGGGCTAATGTTGAGTTAGCTGTTGTAGTCGAACCGTTTTGTAAGGATCTGTTGCTGTCCTCTGTAGTCAAGTTGTACACTGTTGTGTTATTGTTTGAAGGTGTTGTGGGGTTGTTGAAGGCTGTAGTTACATTGTACCCTACTGTGGTATTGGGAGTAATTGTAAATGGGCTAATAGTTGAGTTAGCTGTTGTAGTCGAACCGTTTTGTAAAGATCTGTTGCTGTCCTCTGTAGTCAAGTTGTACACTGTTGTGTTATTGTTTGAAGGTGTTGTGGGTTGTTGAAGGCTGTAGTTACATTGTCGCCGACTGTGGTATTGGGAGTAATTGTAAATGGGCTAATAGTTGAGTTAGCTGTTGTAGTCGAACCGTTTTGTAAAGATCTGTTGCTGTCCTCTGTAGTCAAGTTGTACACTGTTGTGTTATTGTTTGAAGGTGTTGTGTGGTTGTTGAAGGCTGTAGTTACATTGTCGCCGACTGTGGTATTGGGAGTAATTGTAAATGGGCTAATAGTTGAGTTAGCTGTTGTAGTCGAACCGTTTTGTAAGGATCTGTTGCTGTCCTCTGTAGTCAAGTTGTACACTGTTGTGTTATTGTTTGAAGGTGTTGTGTGGTTGTTGAAGGCTGTAGTTACATTGTACCCTACTGTGGTATTGGGAGTAATTGTAAATGGGCTAACTGTCGAGTTAGCTGTTGTAGTCGAACCGTTTTGTAAGGATCTGTTGCTGTCCTCTGTAGTCAAGTTGTACACTGTTGTGTTATTGTTTGAAGGTGTTGTGGGGTTGTTGAAGGCTGTAGTTACATTGTCGCCGACTGTGGTATTGGGAGTAATTGTAAATGGGCTAATAGTTGAGTTAGCTGTTGTAGTCGAACCGTTTTGTAAGGATCTGTTGCTGTCCTCTGTAGTCAAGTTGTACACTGTTGTGTTATTGTTTGAAGGTGTAGTGTGGTTGTTGGAGGACGTAGTTACATTGTACCCTACTGTGGTATTGGGAGTAATTGTAAATGGGCTAACTGTCGAGTTAGCTGTTGTAGTCGAACCATTTTGTAAGGATCTGTTGCTGTCCTCTGTAGTCAAGTTGTACACTGTTGTGTTATTGTTTGAAGGTGTTGTGGGGTTGTTGAAGGCTGTAGTTACATTGAACCCTACTGTGGTATTGGGAGTAATTGTAAATGGGCTAACTGTCGAGTTAGCTGTTGTAGTCGAACCATTTTGTAAGGATCTGTTGCTGTCCTCTGTAGTCAAGTTGTACACTGTTGTGTTATTGTTTGAAGGTGTTGCGTGGTTGTTGAAGGCTGTAGTTACATTGTCCCTACTGTGGTATTGGGAGTAATTGTAAATGGGCTAACTGTCGAGTTAGCTGTTGTAGTCGAACCGTTTTGTAAGGATCTGTTGCTGTCCTCTGTAGTTGCATTAAACGCTGTTGAATCATTTCGTAAAGGTGTCAATGTGCTGGATGTAGTTACATTGTATAGTGCAGTGTGATTGGGGGAAGATGTGAATGGGGTAATTGTTGCGTTACTTGTAGTGGCTGAACCGTTGTGGAGGTTCCTGTTTTCACCACCTATTGTTAAGTTTTGCTCTGTAGTGTAATTATTGGAGACTGTTGTTGGATTGTTTGCAGTAATATTGTACACTACACTGTGATTCGGAGAAGTTGTAAATGTGCTAATTGTTGTGTTACTTGTAACTGAACCATTGTTAAGGTTCCTGTTGTTGCCTGTTACTGTTAAATTGTACTCTGTTGTGTAATTGTTAAACACTGTTGTATGATTGATTGTCGGAGATGTTTCATTGTACACAACTGTGGGATTGGGAGTAGATGTGAATATGCTAGATGTTACATTACTCGTAAGGGAACTGTTGTGCAGTGCTCGGTTGTTTGCCACAGTTACATTGTACACTGTTGTGTTGTTGGTTGAAGCTGTTGTTTGACTGTTGGAAGCCTCAGTGACATTGTGCACTGTTGTGTGATTGGGAGAAAGTGTAAATGTGCTAACTGTTGCATTACCAGAAGTAACAGTACTGTTGTTCAGGTTCCGTATATTGTCTGTTGTAGTTCTATTGTAGAGTGTTGTTTCATTTGGAGACGGTGTAGATGTGTCAGTAGTTGTTACATTGTAGACTGTTGTTTGATTTGGGGAAGTTGGAAATGTGGCAGCCGTAGTTGCGTTGAAGTTTGTTCTTTCATCTGGTGAAGGTGTGAACGTGGCTGCTGTAGTTACGTTGTCGTTTGTTGTTTCATTTGGAGGTGTGAATGTGGGCGCTGTGCTTACGTTGTAGTTTGTTGTTTCATTTGGTGAAGGTGTAAATGTGGCTGCTGTGCTTATGTTGTAATTTGTTGTTCCATTTGGTGAAGGTGTAAATGTGGCTGCTGTGCCTACGTTGTAATTTGTTGTTCCATTTGGAGAAGGTTTGAATGTGGCTACTGTAGTTACATTGTAGTTTGTTGTTTCATTTGGTGAAGGTGTAAATGTGGCTGCTGTGCTTACGTTGTAATTTGTTGTTCCATTTGGTGAAGGTGTGAATGTGGGTTCTGTGCTTACGTTGTAGTTTGTTGTTACATTTGGTGAAGGTGTGAATGTGGGTTCTGTGCTTACGTTGTAGTTTGTTGTTACATTTGGTGAAGGTGTGAATGTGGGTTCTGTGCTTACGTTGTAGTTTGTTGTTACATTTGGTGAAGGTGTGAATGTGGGTTCTGTGCTTACGTTGTAGTTTGTTGTTACATTTGGTGAAGGTGTGAATGGGGCTGCTGTAGTTATGTTGAAGTTTGTTGTTTCATTTGGAGGTGTGAATGTGGGCGCTGTGCTTACGTTGTAGTTTGTTGTTTCATTTGGAGGTGTGAATGTGGCTTCTGCGCTTACATTGATATTTGTTCTGTCATTTGGAGACAGTGTAAATGTGGGTTCTGTGGTTACGTTGTTGATTGTCGTTTCATTTGGAGACCGTGTAAATGTGGTTTCTGTGGTTACGTTGTTGATTGCTGTTTCATTTGGAGACCGTGTAAATGTGGGTTCTGTGGTTACATTGTAGTTTGTTGTTGCGTTTGGAGAAGGTGATAATGTGGCTGTTGTAGTTACGTTGTGGATTGTTGCACTATTTGGTGACAGTGTTAGTGGGTCCGGAGTAGTTTCATTGTAGACTGTTGTTTTATTTGGGGAAGTCGAAAATGTGTCAGCCGTAGTTACGTTGTAGTTTGTTGGATCATTTGGAGAAGGTGTAATTGTGGCTGCTGTATTTACGCTGTGAATTGTTGTATCATTCTGAGATTGAGTAGTAAATGTGTCTACTGTGGTCACATTGTGGACTATTGAATCATTTATAGAAATTATCGTAACAGGTGCAGTTACATTGTAAACTTCTGTTTCATTGGTAGAAGTTGTTAATGTGTCAGCTGTAGTTGGATCATTGACTGTTGTGTCATTCAGAGAAGCAGTTAATGTTCCAGCGGTAGTGACATCGTTCACTGCTGTACTATTTGGAGAAACTGCAGTTGTGTGTAGCGTTGAATCAGCGAAAGCAGGTGTAGTATTCTGTAATTTTGAGTGGACTGGGGTTATATTTGTATTTGCTATGGATGTGTTTTGCAGTTTTGCACTGTCAGTGGTTGTCAATGATGTGGTGTCACCAGAAAATGTTGTATTATGCATTGTTTTACTGTGTGAGCTGTTCCAATTGTGTGCGCTAGTTTCAAGAGCAGGTGTTGTTGATGACTGTGTGCTGTTAATGACTGTGAGTGGAGTAGTCATGGTAGGATGATCTGTTGCTTGTGATGCATTTGTCCATGACACTGCTGCAGTGCTTCCAGCAGTTGTGTGAGATTGTGCAGTTGTGTTGGTAACAGATGGTGATAAGGTTCCAGGAGCTGTAGTGTTGTAGCTGCTGGTCTGAGTGGGAGATGACATTGAGCTTTGCTTGGTTGTGGGAGGCTCAGGAGTACAGCTGTCAGTCAACAGGACAGCAAGGCTCTCACTTGCCTCACTAAAAAAAAAAAAAAAAAAATTTTTTATCATTCATATTAAGTTTTCACAAGTTGTTTTGTATGAAGCCTGTACAAATGGTTTGGTCAGGTTAGTTTTTAGTTTCTGCATCTCCCTTGTCTGAGCGCACCTGAATGCAGCATACTCACAGCGCATCCCCTGAACTACAGCAGTGAAGTGTCAGGACTGGGGGGGGGGAATTGGGACGCAAGTGCGGACCCAGGGGTGTCTCAAAGTTATCCCACAAGATTAACCACAAAATCGCAAAAGCAATTGATTGGAAAGGGGGGAAAAACAACAAAACTGTATAGAGTCACAACAGGCTTCCTAACCTAAATAATGCACCGAAAAGGATTAACTAAACCAGGAGACCCAGAAAACACAAAACAAAAAGCAAAAGCTGCCAGGGAGACCTTTGATAACACAAAAGGCTGGAGTAGACACAAAACTATCCAGTACCCCAAGTTATATACTGGGAGACAGGCAATGGAAATCTAATGCAGAAAGTTCTTAGGTGGTGTTTATAGGTACACACAACCACTCCAGAAACCACAGAGAGAACCTCTCACAACCTCTGAAGGTGAGATAATGAGTCAGCACAGAGCACTGGAGACTCAGAGTATATAAAAATTCCCCACATCTGGGCTCAATCAAAGCCAATCAGTGCCACACACCTGATTGCAATGAGTTGATTCTCTCACTACTCTCACTGAGCAGAAAGAGTGAGTGCCCTCACATAAAGAGAGACATGCCCAGACAAATCTGAAGTCAATTAAGAGGATTTGAGTAGTTTCTGACAGACTTTTATTGTTGTGTGTGCCTCCGTGAGACACATGAGTTGATTATTGTTGCATATTTATGTTTTTTTAATTGTTAATAGCAGCTCTTGACAGTTAAATCTTGAATTGAATAAGGCTGTTTTTTTTCATTCTGAATACTTACTGTGACCTGAGCTAATTGCTAAGTAAGTATTTAAAAGAGTTATATGTAATCTAGCTGTTTCTATATGCAAAGTAACATTCCTAACTGTCTTTAATTTCTGTTATTGTAGAACCACACACACAAAAACACTTACTAAACAGGCAAACATAGATATTAAGTCATTTTTAGACTATTTGAGCCAAATTTATCATTTGTGATGCCTTAGTACATACGGTAAATGTGTCTGTATTCCATAAAATTAACTATATAGAATAGACTAACAATAACTAAGTAAGCCAGTCTTTCTTCTCTCTCCTTTGTTGTTGTTGTTTAGTGTGTTTAATGTATTCTGCTGACCATCTCTTAAGGAAAAACAAAACCGAGGCAACTCATTCTAACAGTTGGTGTCTTCACTTAGTCAGACTTTTCTATAGTCTCAATTATTTATGTGAGTTCTTTTATTCCCAAAATAAAGATAATCAGAGGCTCTAGAATCTTGACTTGAAATGTCTGAAAAACTAAGTGACAGTAAACCCTTGAAAGAAACAACATCCATTTTAAAAAGCAACTAAAATAGTATTTTTATATCTACCATTCAAGCAGAGTGGGGTCTGGTTGGCAGACATCAGCAGTCTTCAGGTCACTGGCAACCCAGGTCAAGTTGGATGCCAACAGGGTAGGGACAGTCAGTCCAGAAGCACCACAAATCACTGTGGACACAGAGCATCATCAATAATACATTGTAATAACAAATGCATATATATAAATATGTATTAAAGGTTTCATAGGGTGAATAAAAAAATATGAATCTGCAGATTTACTCATGCGTGTAAGTGGCCTCTCGTTTGTATTGAAATCCGTTTTGTTAATGACATCTTGGACGAGGTTATTCAGGAAGCAGCCATCAACAGGTCCAGACATCTCCAGTATCACCATGCAGCTGTACAACCGGGGGCAAATGGGTTAAATAGCCCACCTTTGAACAGTAGAATTACATGTACTAGTAACTAGGTTAATAATGCAATCCCAAAGTTATCATGGTTTGTTTGAGACGCCTGTTATAGTACATTAAGAAAACAGAAAGAAACACGTCTACCTCTCTTGTGTTCCATGGCATTCAAGATGAGCTCTCTGGATAAAGACAAATTATCATGAAGCATATTGAACAGCTCTAGATCAGTGATTAAATAAAGAATATATAAAGTGCCCAGCTGTTATCTGCAATGAGATATACCTCGTAGTAGTTAGAAATATCCTGGCAAATTGACCTGGAAATATAGAATTATTCGCATGTGAGGATTATAACATTTCATATTAACTTCATGTATTCAGGTAAACTGATGAATAGGTTTCAAGACAAAGTAATTCTGCAGTAGTATGTCAAAATAAACAGTTAATGAATGATTCAGTCACAAAGACCACTGCCGCTGGTATCATTAATGAAAACACAGCAGAGTCGTGATGCATTATTCAGATAAGAAAGAGACTTACCCTGACATTTTGGCACACATTGTGGTGATACTTGTTGCAGACAACTGTCAAAAAGGTAATAAGTTTAGTAAAAAAACATACAGAATCGGCTATACTATTCTATAATGTTGTGCTTTACGTACCAGGAGTTTTAGGGTGTTAATATCAAAATCGGCACTGTCAATATTTAGTTTTATGGCATAAAACTGGCCTGAAGGGGGAGAGAAGAATAGAAAAGCTTTCAGTTCGAGACATACTTCTATCTCCAGACTTCTAAGAGTTATCACGTTTTTTTGTTCTTGCATCGACTTTCATTATAAAGATAGATACCACTGTCTCACGGTTTAATATGAAGCTACAGCTGCCAGACAGTTAGCTTAACTTAAGTTTAGCATAATGAGTTAAAGAACTACAAATGTTAAAAGCTGATTTGTTAAAGTTGTTGTTTAAGCCAGAACGGCTGCTTCCACTTCTTTCTAGTCTTTGTGCTAAGCTAAGCTAACTTTTCTTGCGCTGGCTTTGTTTAGGACTAACAGTCATATTTTGGGTATATATCTTCCCATTGTACTCTTAAAAAAAACATAATTTAAGTCAAACTATTACTTGAAAGTCTGTACTTTTGATCAAAGGTATACACATGCAATCCAAAGGTATGTACACAGATAGGGAGACAATATTCTGTCTAATTTCTTACCTGCAGTGTCACAGAAAGCGTTGCAGTCACAAAAGCGAGGCACTTTTCCTGAAGAAAAAAGAAAAACATGGCTGCAAAGGACAAATTGACAGACAATTATGGTGAAAAACAACCAGTTTTTTTACTCACTGCTGCAGGAGTCGGTCTTAGTCTGGGGAACGGGGTCAGAGTTTGGCTCTATGGTGGAGCTAAGTGAATAAACATTGATTAGAAGAGTGTACACATTTAGGGATACACATTGGATATAAACTTAGGTTTTGCTCACCATGTAACGTTGGGGGGGCTGCTTGCCTGACAGATATATTCCAGAGAAGATGTAGATGTGCATCTCATATATCCACCACTAGAGGGTGGCACATTCTCACAAAGATTTCGGCCTGAAGTGAAGAAAATCAACATGAGGAAGCCTGTACTACAAAGTGTGTGGCTCTTGGAGGTTTTAAACATTGAATTGGAGAATATATCGGTCTGTCTTTGCTTACTCACAGAGCTGTATCAGAGTTTAAATCTAAACTAATGGGTTTCAATCTGAATTAGTTCTAGGTAAACGTTGAGATTTGGGTTTTTTATGAAGTTATCAGAGGTGATTTAGGGGTATGCACTGATACCTGTCGGCAAGGGTCCTTACAACTAAGAATGTACAACTGTGTGTGTGTTTGTGTGCTTACCAATCTATCTTTGTGAGGACCTTGTTTTTTTAGGCTTTGACATTTAGGAGGACATAATTATATTTCAAGCAGCTGTGAGGGACTTTCATTGGCTGCCCCTGTAAACACAAACTATATGGTCTTTTCTATCTATCTATCATTTTTCTCTTGAAAACAAAATAGTCTGCAGGAAGCTAAATACTGATGAAATCGTACTCTTTTTCTACTGCATACATTTAAAAAATAAAAATAATAACTTGTTGATGGCTGCACAGTGGTGCCGTGGTTAGTACTGTTACCCTACAGCCAGAATGTTCCCGGTTCGAATCCCCCTCCGACAAGGCCTTTCTGTGTTTGGATATTCTCCCCATGCATGCCTGTGTTCCCTGGTATTTCAGCTCGTTAGGTCAGTTGGTGACTCTAAATTGCTCCTCTGTGTAAGTGTTTGTCTGTCTCTCTATATAAACCCTGAACAGTATAGATAACGGATGGAGGATACACTTGTTAACTTGGCTTTAGCTTACATTACTTCTGTTAGCCAAAAACAATGTGCATCGATATTTTGTTGACATAGCTGCAGTTTTTAAAATTCCCTTTAACCAGTCCGACAAATCTCAGAACGAATCTTCTTTTATTGCTTGGATAGCAGTCAGGATGTGGTCTGGGCTGGTCGCCATGCTAGCATCTGTAGCTTCTTTAGTGTCCTCGCTAGCTTGCTGGGTGCAGTCTAATCTTTCAGACTTCTGTGCCTGCTTTGTTGTTTTCTGTGGCATTTGGGACTTCACTTCGCTCTTGGTAATAAAGTATGTGGCTTCAATACCGTCATTTAGTTGCCAGATTCTGAAAACTGCCGGAGAGGTCAGAGCCAAATCTGTAAGTTCTAATTTTCCCTTTAATTTTATGTTTTGATGACAACAAGCCAAACGCAAGATATGGCTCAGCAACAGAGCCAAAATGAGTGTTAGCCAGTTGTTTTACAAAAATGTCAGCCATAATCCCAATTCATTGTAAACAACTACGTCTATTTACGTCTAATAATGGTGATTTATTGAGTAAAAATTCTGATCTTATCTCTTGTGTCTTAATAACATACTACATACTTTTTTCTTTAAATGTAAAACTTTAAAGTTCTACTTGTCTATTGACGTGATATTTATAAGTGTATGTAAAGAAGTCTTTTTTGTGCATGTGTGAAGATCAATAGGGATGAAAAACTGAAGAAATGCTCACCGACTCTCTCCACCTCTCCTAGGATTCTTGCTTGTATTTGTTCGTCTCCAGCTTGCTGCAGTGCAGAGACTCCAGCGAGCTGCAGTTCACACGCTGAGACAGCCTGACTGAGCTGTAACAGCACATCGCAGTTTGTTTCTCTGGAAATTGAATATTCACACTCACTGTAAGTGTAATCACACAAAGAAGCTACACACAATCTTACAAACATGCAGTTACCTTATGTTGCTTTTTTCCTTACAGTTGACCTCTGCTATCTGCAGAGGGAGACAGAAAAGTTCAAAGTCATATTACTGTCTTAAAGGAGACACTTTATTTTGAAAAGTGAAAGGTGATGCTTGTTTTTGGGACGGATTGACCTGAAGTTCTCCATCATTTTCACAGATACCTGTTACCGGGCAACCAAACGCACTTGACACCTGAGTGGAAGATGGAGAAACAGAGACAGAAAGATGCTGAAAATATATGGAAGGCAGATGGGAGGTTTAACCTTTAATTTACCTACAAAGACCACTGAAGAGAAGCCCTTAATATAATGAAACATTGCCTGCTTTAAAACAGCAAACACTGATGGCAACAAAATGAAGGAGAGCTTAAAGTTAAAAGCAAATGCGTAAAATAGTAATTAACAGATACAATTTCGGTAGGCTAAAAAGGATTCATGTTTAATTCTGACAGTATTTAATATTAGGCCTTTTAACAGCCATAAGGGTGACAGAGAGTGATAGTTTAAGGCCTTTTGCAACTAATTCAGTGTTCAAGATTCACTGTATGAGAATGGCATTCATCCAAATTCGGTTCTGACTTGGGGAATGTGGAATGACACCCTGTTGTGCAAGCAAGTATCCAAGACATGGACAAAAGATGGCCAAAAAATGATGAGCTATGTTAAAATATATCAGTAACAAATCCAGGACGTAGGTTTTTTTTAAAATCTTGACCTTTAGCTATAACCAATAATTAAAAACCGTACTGAAGCAGTCAGAAGCAGCAATTTATACTCACAAGGCCTTTAAAACGTCCTCTAGGTACTTTGTGTTTGAGTTTTTCTGTGGATGGATTTTTATTTAATTTATATTTTAAAAAGGATTCATTGATTAACTGAAGGAATAACTGGCATGGATAATAATAATTTAAGTCTGTTTGTCTTGCCCATATTTAGATCCTTCTGCTTTAACTTTATGGGGGGAGGGGCTATGTATAAACCAGGCTGGGAACCCTCCTCAGATTGTCCAATACAGTTCTTAACATTATCAAACTTCTAGAAAGCTAAAAGTCACTAGCTGAAACTTCAAAAAAACTCAATTGCTTCTCTTTTGAGCTGCTGTACAGAAGTACAAAATGAAAAACAAGTTAATATGTTACTTTTTCGAAAAGTAAGTAGGTCACAATCACGCGGCTGAATTAATTGTGGGCAGAGCAATTCTCAATTAAATTTCAGGTGCATCACGGGGCTGGAATGTGCTGCTCCTTCTTGTTAATCCTCTGCTGGTTGAACTTGTTTGTGACTGGTTAACATTTAAAGCTACTGAATGCAAGTAATATGAAAAGCTGGAGACTTTGAAGTACACAGGGAGACATTTCCATCTCACCAGTTTCTGGACGTCTTGTTCAGTTTTATTGCCCTCATTGGCCTCCACAGTTATGAACATCCAAAAGTGAGCGTCTGCAGGAAAGAGTTAAGTTTTTCATTTAAATGTGTGCCAAAATAAAACACTCTGACGGGACAAAAGGTGGCTTTTTCTTACTTGTATCAGAACAAAGTTGGCTGATGTTACAGTTTACAAATGAGGATCCTGAAAGACAGAAGTAAAACATTAAAAACAATAATGTTATTTATTATGATAAGTAATACAAAGATATACAGTCTTCAATTTAGCTTCCACACAGATATGCACTAAAGGCTCTGTTTATTTTGATCATTTACTACAGTAACACTGTTACTGAAATTACCAATAAGAAGCAGTGCTTTTCTTATCCTTCACTGACATAATGAGAATCAGGTTGTTTCATTTTGAAAGAAAATGGCGTTTCTAATTGCACATTTTTAAGCATTGTCAGCATGTCAGTTTTACCTGCCCTCATGACACTCTGGCATTAGATCGTCTGTGATTATGTAAGAAGTAAGTGTTGCAAAATCACAGCACGTACTGATCTTAAGGAATTTTTTTCTGTTTTCACAGCAGCAGCAGCAACATGTAAGTGATCTGTTGAGCACACTTGGCTCTAACAATGCAATGCACAAAGTAAATGTAGTTTCTCATCGACAAAATACTCAAATATCTCAATTTTCTTTGGGAAAAACAAGTATTCAATCTTTTCTGTTCATAACTCCTTTAACGGTTAATTATGGTGTCTAGCAATGTTATTCATGTGAATAATTGGTTTACAGTACGAGGGTGGGACACTGATATTGTCGGCACCACTCACCTGTAGTCGTGTGAGTGACAGGTGCTGC